AAGGCTACCATTTTGATATCGAGATGATGGCGGTATTTTTGAAAACCAGGGTATTAGAGTTATGGTAGACTGGAATTTAGCGATAAAGTTTTGAGTCGGATTTTTTTTTACCTGAACTTTTTTTTTCTTTTTCTTTTGGCCCAAGTAAACTCCTCAATAAGATCCGTTAAACTCCTTTTAAGGCAGTTCAAACGCTGCAACAAAATGCGTTTCCTTCGGCCTCTCTGTGCCCGTCACTGCAGAGATCAGTGCACGCATTTATTTATTTATTAAATGTGGCCATTAGATAGGGGTATACACTGCTCTTGAATTTAGATGTGGCTTGCATCGGGTCGAATAAAGACGATATTGTTACACGAAATTACTTACTCATTTGGCTGGAAATATTAAGCGCGAAAATGACTAAATTCGTTTAAAGTGTAATATGATCCAGATGGACACATGTGTGAAAGAGAGAGGAAGAAAGAGAGAGAGAGAGAGAGAGAGAGAGAGAGAGAGAGAGAGAGAGAGAGAGAGAGAGAGAGAGAGAGAGAGAGAGAGAGAGAGAGAGAGAGAGAGAGAGATGAAAAGAGAGAAGAGAGAGAGAGAAAAAAAATAGAAAGATGAAGAGAGAGAGAGAGAGAAGAGAGAGAAAGAAAGAATGAGAGAGATGAAAAGAGAGAGGTGGGGGGAGCCAGGTTAAAAGGGAGAATAAGGGAAAGATAGAAAGAAAAATAAAAGGCACACAGAGAAAGATCCAAAACTAAGAGCATTTCGTACCGGTCATTCTCGGGTCAAATGCGATTTTCTCTCGAATTCCCAAGAAATCTCCAGACGATAACACTCAAAGAATCCTACCTTCGTTCTATCCCAAAATCCCTGACACTTTTAACACTCCTTTCGAAAAATCTATCCATCGAGAGGACAAGATTAAGCCAAAGAGGCGCCTTTTCGCTTCGATTTTAGACTCTCTCCTCTTGCTTCGAGTCTGCTTGTCCCAAAAACTGCGAGCGAAGTAATGTATATTGCTGGGAACGCTAGTGGTTGGGAGCGGGAGGGAAGGAAGGGGTAGGGCAGGGGTGGGGTTGGGGGAGGAGTGTCGGACTGTGGAAGGGAGGGGAGGGAGGGGGCGAGGAAGTGGGAGGGGGCCGGGTGTGGGGACGTTTGAGAAGGGAGGGAAAGGGAGGCGGGTGGGGTTAGAAACTTTCAAAAAGGTAGGGAGCTGGAGTTGCATCGAGTGGAGGCTCTTTTTTTTAGAAAAATAACGTGAGATCTTGATCTAAAGACATTTTCTATCATTCTTTGTCTTTATTTTGTTCCCCAAGTCTCAGCATTTTCTTCTTGTTAATTAACGAACAGGGACTCATCTAGCATAATTAGGAATTAACGGTCTCATTAAAGGTTTCTTTAGAAAGGTATAACGAATTTCATATATTCAAACTCCTGGGGTTGTTCTTAATAACAAGAAGAAATCAATAACATGAACTCATAAATATATATATATATATATATATATATATATATAATATTCTACAGATCCGTGGGTGTAAGAGGGAGCGAGGGTGAAAAAGATAGAGGGAATGGGAGAGAGGGAGGAATAGAGGAGGAGGAGAGGAGAGAGAGAGAGAGAGAGAGAGAGAGAGAGAGAGAGAGAGAGAGAGAGAGAGAGAGAGAGAGAGAGAGAGAGAGAGAGAGAGAGAGAGAGACAGAGAGAAAAGGTAAAGGTAAAGCACGTGCGTGTTGGATGAACGTACTTGACATATCCATTCTTTTAGTTTATTGTTATTCTGTTCATTTATCTACTTGCTTAATCATTCACCTACTTAGATATGTATTCGATACAATGTAATAAAGGCATGTTTTATCAAATTAACGCCAACTTCAAGTATAGATCACAACATTTAAAATCATTTAAATTTTACACAGCGAGAAGTCCACAAAGGTATAAAGTTTATGTTCACATTTTAACACAAGTGTTTGACAAAATTGCGCACAGAACATCGCAGATAAGAAACACTTATATAGTGGTAATTTATTGTGATAAACTCGGGGTATGGTTTCTGTTTCAGAAAGCGATTTCATGTTAGAGACAAAACTAGATTATGGAAAATTACTAAATTATGGGACTTGAAAAAACACGAAAGGTGTAGGCATCATTTATCATTTTATTTCTCTCGCACCAAAAGAGTGCGAGAAAGGGTTTTCTAAAAGAGTGATGAGAATTATAATCATGATAACAAGAGTGATGATGGTGATACTCCTGATGATGATAGTAATGGTGATGATGATGACGATGACGATAACGATGATGGCGATGAGGACCAGGATGGTGATGATGATTGTACTGATGATGAAGATAATGATAATAATGATGGTATTGAATATCCCGGTGTACTCAGTGAATAAAGAAATAGATAAACATAAACTTATAAAGTTTTCCATATGGCATTTCACTGCAAGTGTTCGACACAGGTGTGATAAAAACACCGTTATTAGAGCAACCTACACTGAAAATGGCGATATGAAAAGTGGGTGATCATTTATTCAAAAAAGTAAATTCGTATTTAAAGTCATGAAGAACGAGAACCTCCATGGATAGTCCCTTGAAAATCAGCATGCCCATGATGATGAATACTCCTGATGATGATAGTAATGGTGGATGATGACGATGACGATAACGATGATGAGGACCAGGATGTGATGATGATTGTA